ATTGTGTAGGGGTCCCTCTTTTATTGGTTGGAAGAAACAAAGAAAATAATAATAAAAAAAAAATACCAAAAGGAACCACCAGGAAATATCACCTTGTTAGTAATTATATGGATTTAACTGCTCGTAGAATTCAGGATGATGCATCAAAATTTAGTATAATTAAGCATTGAAAGAAATGTTAGTATTTGAACGATATTAGATATATTTTTTTTAAATTTAATTAATGCATAAGGATTAATTTAAAGTTTACGGATAGGAACTGTCCTCACTTCATGCTATTTGACAGACTCACTTTCAGCAGCTCTAAAAATTTTCTAAATATCGAGAATTACATTTATTTTATACGGATTTCTTCTTCTTCTATAGCTCTACAGCCCTTTGCGAACGCTAGCCTGTTTCACAATTCTATTCCATACAGTCCTCTGTTTTGACATCTCCCTCCACCTATGGATCTAATATTGTACAAATAATATTTCTTCGACAAATTGTATTTTAAAAAATTAGTACTTTCTAAGCCTGGTCCCTAGGCGACGTATCCCGTTTTGTCCGACTATCCCGATTTATCCAACTCTCCCCTACTTTTTAAAATCCTTGATTTCAAAATTAATTGACAGAAAAATTATTTGAGCAAGTTTTAGGGCCTGCTAAAATTTTCAGATTTATTTAATATTAGACTTTTAATTGAATAAAATTGTGGGGTAAATTTCGAATTCAAAGATCAAAATTTTAACATTGGTATGAGTAGGAAATTCTGCAGGAGTTACTCATTTTGAACAACCCATGTTCAAATTACAGTCCACCGTATCAACGAGGATGAAAGTAACAGAACTGGAAAAAAAAGGGTGCAGTGAAAAACTTCTCAGGAGTGACCGTCCTCTATTCTGTGAATAAATTAATAAGAGTGATAATCTAAAGAACTATCGTCATTAGATTTTCAAAATAATCACATCCTGTATTAATAATAAAAATAAAACACATTAAAAACAACTGCTCAAACATTTTTTTTAAACATAATCCAGGAACTTCAGAGATTTTTTTTATGACTTATTCTCCTTCCACCTTATGAAAATTTTGTTGAATTTGATTTTACCCCCAAAATGAGAAAATACCAACAACTTAATTTGTAATGTGACTCAATGATTTCAGTGCACTGCTTTTATGCTTGAATCACTCATTTCTAAAACATATTTAAAGCTCTAGCCTACAGGAATTGCAATTGAATCAATCGTAATGTACAGTATACTATCTGGTTATCATCCCACTTAGCCACCCTTTAATTGTGTTGTTTCTTGCACCTGTAGTAGGTACATTTTAATGCTAGGAAAATAAAAAAAAAGAGCAAGAAAGCTGTGTATTGGTTGTTTACAAAGGATTGTCTTTTCTCTCTCAGAGGTTTTGTTAAGTTTATGAAATAACAAGTCCGTGCTTTTAAAAACACAGTCTCTTACAGACAGTCTCGTACAGAAGTTCCACTGTATTTTTTATCTCCTAATTGCATTTTATTTTAATATTTTTTTCCTTAATAGTACAATGAATGAACAATGATAAAATTATTTAAAATGAAATTGGATGGGTAATGAAAGAATAATACTACTTCTTTAAAAATTTGTTTATCAAATACACCAAGAAAAAAAAAAACAATTACAAATATATATTTTATTGTCACATAACAAGGCAAAATTTTAAAAAAAAGATTTATTCAGTTTACATTTAGATGGTATTAATATACAATAAATTTGAAAATTAAATCACAATCCAATTATTTAACTTCCATGATAAAATAACCAATTATGACAAGATACAAATATACCCACATATAACCTTTAATTTTAAGGATGTAACGAATTGTACAGATACAGTAACTGACATTAACTTTTTAAAATACATAGACTTATTTGTAATTTTTAAGTTAAATTGTGATTCTTTACTTCTCGGGAGAATAAGAGTACAGTCTTTATACAATAAAAGTAAAGCAAATTAAACTTGACAAAATAATAACATTAGAGTAATATCTACAAGAGCAAAATGTAAATTGTCAGCAAGAGGAATTTTTACATATATTTTTCCTCTACGAAGAATATATAACATTTCCTGTGAAGGTGTAGGATTAAATTAAGTGCTTTACATTTCATGGGCGTCATCATACTTCAAATTTACATTAGTAAACTTATAAAGGCCCTATTTAAAAATAAATAAAAAATATTAGCTTTTATTTTAAATTTTCTAATAAATGAAAGCATAATAGTCATACATTGCAAGTTAATTAAAATTAACATAATTTTTAGTCTGCTTCATTTGTTATCTAGAGTGAGTACTCTACGGTATTTCTTTCATTTCTTTTATATTCTTGTTGATTATTTTTACATAATGATCAAATATGGTTATAAAATGATGGAACAGCAGCTTAACTTCTTAGGAGCAGAAAAATCAGCTGCTATGAAAATTTAAATAGTATGTTCACACTCAACTCCTTCCCCAAAAAAAATGCAATCGGCAGATTTTGCAACTAGTCTACGCATTTGATATATTTTAAAATAAATATTTTAAAGCTTGAATTTTACCACATTATTTTTAAAAAAGAACTATTGTAAAGAAAAAAAAACATACTTGGATGTTCAATTATTGCAATTTTAAATTTATTGTATTTGTACTAAACCATACTTTTTTTTTGATTTTATAATATATTTACATACTTTAAAAAGACAGCATTACTTACTGCAAATAAATATTTTAGGATTAGTATTCCACTTAGCTAATTTTAAAATTTAACTTTACCAAACATAATTTTATTTACATGCAAATTTTAAAACAAAATCAATTTTTAGCAATGTAGAAGCAAAAGAGAGACATTGCCACGATCAACTTTTCACAGTTATGCAGGAGCCAGATAATTTTAAGGAGCATTATCAATTAATATTTCATTATTCAACTGATGATGTTCAGTTTTTCAATAAAATTTGCTCAAAATATTCTAAAAATTCAAGAAATTGTAATGTGTTTAGGACCGCAACATATTGCGTAAAAATAATTTATTCATTGATATATGCAGGAATGCGATTCTTTGCCGAATTTCACAAATTCACGGACTTCTGGGAGTCAATAATTCATATTCCCGCAAAATTTACTAAGAGTTCCACAAATCCAACATTTAAATTTCATTACTCATGCAATATCTCGTTAACAAGCTATTTATATCACCCTTACCAGCACCCTCTTTAGAAGAGCATCCAAATTCTGAGATTTTGTCGTAAATACAGGTAGTTTTATCACCAATCTTTTTACAGTTTTTTTGCCCAAATTCTTTTGTCTTTTTTGGTGCAAAAAAGGAATAATATAATTTTTAATATATACATTCCTTTATGTGTTGATAAGAAAAATTTTATAAGAAACATCCTTTCTCGCTTTAAATTTTATTTTTCTTTAATGCACAAAAATGAATCTTTTACTTATCTTCTATGTACAAAAAGAATTAAGTACTAAAAAAATTTTACTCATCAGAAAAAAAAAAATTTAACTTAATTTCTTTTAACAATCACATGACTATAAGCATGAAAGATGTATTTAATAACAAAAAAGGCTCGCTGTTTTTAAAAAAATAAAAAATAAGTGTTTCAAAATATTTTTTTCTCTCTTTTTTAAATAGATATTCAAAAACTTCGTAGCAACATGATTAAAAATATTATAATTTGGGATTGAAATAGATATAAGCTAATACAGAATTATCAAAAGAAGTTAAAATAAACATTTTTAGCTGTATATTACCATGCATAATTCTAGAAGATACAATAACCGCTGATATAAACTTTTTTAGTTTATTTTTTTCATAACTGTCGTTGAACAGCCGATCCAATTTTTTTTTTGGGTTTACAACTGCTAATGCAGTCTTGTAAATTTGAACTCAATCCTAAAAACAAGGGAACTCCTGGCTGGATCAAGTATTGGGAGAAATTTGCTTCCGAGGAGCACATTTTGATGGAACTAACCCACATTTGCGTTTTATGGAGAGGAAAACTTTTGGAAATCATTTTTTTTTCTTTCTTGATATTCAAATGTTTTACCTTTAACTGTATATTTATCTCTTTAGTATGACCTAAGCTCTCTATGATTAAATCATCTCTGTTTTACTATCCTTGCCATTAACCATACTAAAGAAGAACAATTTTATTTTATTTTAAATTATATAACCATCATTGAAGAGTCGATCCTATTCAGAAGGCCTGGGAAAACCTGGATCAATTATTGGGAGAAATTTGTCCTTGCGGAGGATTTTTTGATGGAACTAACCGGCTTAAAGTTACATGGAGAAAAAAACCATAAAAACCTCCCACAGTTAGCCTGACAGCAAGGGGACTCCTAAATCATGATCCATCTACAGGGGTAATTGTGAGCCCAAGTCAAAATTCCGGAAAATTTCTTGTGTTAAAAAGAAAACAGGTTAAATTGAAAAATTAGAAAAAAATTTAAACAAGGTTTTTTTTCTTCCTTTTTCTCAATATTTCTTTGTTTACTTAAAATATGTTTAAAATTTTACACATACCTATACCATTTACACATACCTATGATGACTTGGAGAAGTAATTATAATTCACAAATAGGTCTTTCTTTCTTGAGTTTTATGATTATAACAACTATTTACTATGATTATTACAACTACTTAAATATTAATCACGAATATAAGCTTATAAAGTATCTCTCTGGCTCTCCCTTACAAACAAATAAAATAAACTGTGTTTTTAAGTTCCACCTTTGAAAATTTGATTTCCGGAAATTTCTTTGATCAATAATTTTTTGAAACGTCTGGACCATCGATCTCCGGAAACTTCCCGATCATTGTTAGCGAAAATTCCGGAAATCCGGATTTTTTTCCGGTGCACTATCAGCCCTGCATCTACCACTAAGGATTTTTTACGTCAGTGCTGTGGTCGGTGCAAGCCGGATGCGGAATTTGTATTGACCAGCCAACGCAGGGATTCGTACGCAGTTCACCTAATAGAAATGTGAACCTCTACCCAGAGTCATCACGCCTTTTTTTAGTTAATTAATAAAATTATGATAGTTACCCTCATTTTCTTTTCAGCCCTTTTGACCAAAATCATCCATAAACTGTTCTAGCTTGATTAGATCGCTCTCATTTACAGTAGGTTTAGCCTGCCAGAGTGATCTTTTCATGTCCCACTAGAACAAAATAAAATGTAATGTAAATGAGTGTCGCATTGCTTGCTTAAAACAATGAAAAAAAATCATTTATTTAAGTACCTAAAAATAAAAAAATAGATTAACATAATTTATTAAGATTTGACAGTGTTTTCATCATAGAAAAAAAATGGGTGAGAATTTCTCACCCTTTCTCAAAAACAGGGTGAGATTTCAGAAAGTTAAGTGAGATTTCTAAAAACTGAAAAAATACAAATAGACTTGAAAAAAAAATTTCTTTCATTATAATACATTTTTAACGTCTTCTATTTTTTTAAAGCATTGAATATTCTTGCTGCATCACCATAGAAGATTTTGCCTTTACTAGGTATTTGTCCATCTTACATTAGTGCATAAAAAATTTGAACGTCTTACATGAAAAAACCTTACCTGCGGTAAACACGTGGTTGCAGAGAAATGTGTTCTGAAAGGGGTTCCGTGGTTCGGAGAGGTTGTGTTCTGTTGCTCGAAAAAGTTCTGAACAATACTGGTAAATAGGGAATCTAGATAACGGGGCAAATGTTGAAAATAATGAAAGATCCAGGAAGAAAAGTGAAATGGATTTTATTCTAAATGGCGTAATTTGAAGCTTTTTCCAAAATGCGAGAAATTCGCGAATTTTGAAATTGATTTATAGAATGCGCGAATTTCTCGCGGTAATCATTTTTTAATGCGAGAAAAGAAAAAAATATGCGAGATTCTCGCGTTCTCGCGCTGTAGTGAAAACACTGTAAAAAGAATTAACCCTTTTTATACACTTTGCTTAAAATTGACCAATGTAAAGATAAGAGATAAAAAAATTTCAAATGACTGCTATTAGACATCTTTTTTTATATTTTGTATATTTTTATAAGAACGCATTTTTAAATATTTATCCGAATGCATTAATGTGTTTCTAAGTCATATTTCAGAGCTTAAAAATCACTAATTTGTTATGAATTTATTAAAATATTTTTTTGTACAGTAAAACTAACATTTATTTATGTTTTATTTATAAGAGATTGAATTGAGTGGGTGGAAAAGGAATAAATAAAATTATTAAATTGCCATTAAATGAAAGGTTAACAACAATGCATTGTTTTAAAATATTTCTTTAACACGTTCAGGCCGGGGTGACCTACCGGTGGGTCACGCTAGATTGTCTCATCGGGCTGCGCACAGGAGTAAAAACTGGTAACAAATAAATTTCATTTTTTAGTTTTTTTCCGGGAATAATAAAAATCCATAACTACCAATTGTTTTTAACGGATGCAATTGTTATATTGAAATGCTTCTTCGCCGTGATAAATTTCCTTACAGTGAATTGTTATTGTTGAGAATAGATTAACTCCTCCCGAATATTATCTAATATTGAAATAGTTTTTCTACCAGTATTTTCTCTTTTCCGTCCCGCTTTCAGGCGCAACACCCGGCGTGAACGTGTTAAAAAATCGAAAATGAACTAAGTTATTTAGGTTTATGAAGTGATTCCAATAAAATAAGGAAAAAAAATTGGTGCAAGGGATGGTAGAACTAAATAAAGTGAAAATTTTTGATATAAGTAATTATAAAAAATAAGAATTATTTTAGCTTTAGAAAAAAAATTGTTTAGCATAAAGAAATATATATGATTGTAAAGCAAGCCTAGGGAATTGCCTTTAGTCATAAATTGAAACAAATGTTAGGAATTATATGAAATGTATATAGAAAAGAAAAAGTGTAGGGTGGGGGAGAGGCAGTATTGTAGTTAAATGAGCTTTATTAAATATACTTGATTTATTTATCAGTTTCTCGATATATCAATTCATTTATTTGTCAATTTATATAGATGGAACAATGGTTTTAAAAAATTACTAGGTAACATTTGAATGATATTTAAATACAATACTTTTTTGAAAATTGATCACTTTGAATGACGAATAAAAGCCAAAACAATTAAAAAAAATTCCTAAAACAATTATATACAATAAAACAATAATTATGTATAGAGATAACAATAATTATATATAGGGATAACAATAATTATATATAGGACAGATATCAGCAATAATCAAATATAGGAATAAAAATTTTTTATTTGTATTCTCAATATAAAGGTATAATAAATATGTTTCCAAATTGTTAAATCCCATAACTCTTTTTAATGACATAACTTTGTAAATTGCAATTAAAAGAAAGTACAGTAGAGAGACATTAATCCGATATCCAGAAAGCCGGGAAACCAGAAACCCGGAAAATATTTTGCTCGGTTTTCCCGCCATTCTAAACTAGAACAATTGACAGGAAAAGTAAAATTTGACTCATCCTTGATGTATTTTTTTCCTGATAAAATTTTTATATATCTTCCGTGACCTTGGTGATCTTTAGATTAAGGGGGCAGGGAAAGGACAAATGTTTCATTTTCTTCTGTGTGTCCGAAGAAAATCGTTTCTCTGATAGTCTGCCGCCAGGCAGAGTGACATGCTGATTTTGTTTTTTCTTTGATTTACGAAGGGAGGGGGGGGGGGGGTTTTNGAGGGGGGGGGGGGGGGGGATTTATTGCACACGCATATCAGAGAACAGATGATAAAAGAGAAATTAAAATATATCCCTATACTTTACTAAGAAGTAAAAAAAGTGAAATGGAAATACGTAAATGACGAAAATACAGCTATTTTTATTCAGAAATAAAGTCGGAAGATATTTAAAATAGAATTTGATAATTTAAAAATAATCAGAAGAATTTTGTAAATTATTAGCATAATTGGCTGTGATAGTGGAGGGAAAATCTGCATTGTCTGGACTACTACTACTACTAATATTCATAATTCATCAAAATAAGTTGAATAAATTTTTATTATTGGCTCAAATTAAACTTCAAAGAGAGTTATTAAACGTCCGTTAGAATTCAAATTTGAGTAGTTAAGTTTTTTTTTTAATCACATTATTTAAAAAAGTGGATCAAATAAAAAAAATTGGCAATATCCAATTAAAAACGCGACAAAGTTTTGATACTTCTTGAAAGAAGCATGGCGTTTTAAAAAATAAAATAATAAATAAGTATGAATCTTTTTCTCAACGCAAATCCTGTAAAATTTAGAATCTGGAATAAAAATTTGAAAATTGAACAAAGATATTGTCTGAAAGTAAAATGGCAGATTTGAATGTCCCGGGAAAACGAGATACGATAAAAAATGTCAGTGAATTGTTAGGGGAAAACGCAATTTGAACTCAAATCCGGGACTTGTCATTGTCAGAGAATTCGACTTGCGATCAAATTGTTGGATTTAAAGATCGATCACCTTTCCGTTTTTTGTAACGTGCACTTGCGTGATAGGGGATTTAAAAAAAATTCAAATTTTCTTTTCCGAGCCAACCATCGGGTACGTCTTCAAGATTCTGCTATAATTCTTAATTCTTTCTGAGTGTTGCCAATTGGATGTCCGAGTTTAGGAACTTGAAACTTCTGTCTCAAAGACTATTGACAAGTTAGGTTTTTTTTTTTTAATCTACTTTAGTTACTCAGTTTTTGTAATCCTTTATTCATTATGACAAATTTTTTTTTGGAGTCTTTCTTGATGTGGAATCACATTTGTTTTTGTTAAAAATCGTTTGGCTTTTTAAAAAAAATAAATAAAAAGAGATTGTTTATTAATTTAAGCATACGATAATTTATTACTAATCGCAGAAAATAATTTTATGAAGCAGATTGCAGCTTTCTTTTTTTTAAAAGTGATACATTTCTGATTCGACTACTGAGTGAGTTTTTTCTTCTTTTCCACTGTTCACAATAAATTTGTTCGTTTTATTCATAAATTTTAAGATTAGTTGTTGTTATCTTAATTCAGTTGATCTTATAATAACCTGCCTTGTCCCGGGTTTTAATATTTATGTTAGTGTCATTTTAACCATCGTTTCCATTTGATAATTTTCAAGTGTCGTTATTATTTAGACTAATAAGTTTTTCTTTATAATTAGGTGTGAAATATATTTTTAATCATTGGTTTTGTTATATATTAGTTAAGTTGATAATTTTAATTAATCTACTAAAAATAAATATATGAAACTTTTATTTTTCAAACTTGTTTTTCTTGTCTAAACTTGTGAAGGTTTTTATTCTTAGAAATTTTATTTTTCTACCATTTTTTTTTTAAATTTAGGAGATCTTTTTTTTCCTATTTTAAAATGTGTTGCTCTTTTTCATTGTAATATGGGTTTGATAAAACATCGATTAACAACACTTTAATTGCGGATCCAGAAAACCGTGATAGCGTTGGTCCCGAGCATCTCGGATAATAGGTTATCTATTATATTTAAAAAGCTTAAAGTATATCTTAGCACCTTACTGCAATATCGAAAAATTAGTGTAAATTTATTTTTAGTGCTATTAAGAAAGTATAATGCGATCAAAAAATATTTATCGATGGGGTTCACACTTAAAATGAAAAAAAGTAGAGGTAATTATATTGCAAACTGTTAAATTCAATATTTTATCTATAACAACAGAAACAATTCTTCCACTGGATACTAAAAAATAAAAAAAATTTAAGATCTTATAAGAAAAAAAAATTACAGTCCTTTTTTTAAAAATATAATGAAGAACTTTTTAAGAATTCATATCACCCAAATCTAACACTATTTGTCTGGTACAGCAGTCATAAAGTTGCAATGATTGCAGATCTTTTCAGTATTTTTTCTAAATATTTTTTTTATAATTTTTCAAAAAGAAAAAACTTGATCTCCATAAATAATAATTTAGTTGCGTGTGCTATAATATAAAAATAAAACAAAAATTAAAGTAAAATAATTTAAAACTCGATTACCATTGTAATTTTAGGTTCTCTTAACTTATCACCAGTCACTTCAACCCAAGACATTTCTATTGCTCCACGTGCATCTGGGGAGCAGGGTTCTAGGAGGTCCTCGACTAATACAGTTGGGTCCGTTCGAGAATAACCTCTTACCTTTGAAAAAGAATACAATCAGTAACAAATCTATCGCAATATATACTACAGTAGGACCTGTACACAACAGAGAACTCTGGAAACATAAAAAACTTGTTAAATCCGAATATACGGATTGAAAGCACGTTTTCAAGAAAAGATAAAAATCCGTAATGAGTTTTTCTTACATGCGACACTGAAATTAGAAATGCTTCTGCAACCACTTATATATTTATCTGATGCTATTCAAGCCACTTCAATTTTTTTCTCCTTATTTTCTGAAAATGAGACAACGGGCTGACAGATACGGGAATAAAAAATGATCTAAAATTTTTTTTCTCAATGTGCAGTTTTCTTTTTTGGTATTTAATTTTTTCTCTTCTCTTGTACATAGAAGATATTTAAAAGACTGTAATTTGTATGCACAAAAGTAACATTTATAAAAATTTATATATGTTTTAAATCTAATAATAAGATTAAAACACGGATTTATTGAGTGTGTTGAAAAGTGATTATTGAAATGCATTCAAGATTTTCATGTCGTAATACCATATTAAAAATTAATTCTATCTAATTTCAGAAAAATGAAGAAGGGGGCAAATGTATCACATAGGTTAAATAATTGTTTTGTTACAAACTAGAATTTTCAACGAAATTGATGCTGCTTAAAATATAGTTTAAAAAAAGAGAAAAACACCATTTTTTCTAGGGAACAATGTTTTAAACATTTTCGATTTTGAAACCAATTATCCAGTACCAATTATATTATGAAATTACATTACCAATCTTATACTTTTGTGTTTGCCTCAGTAGTTCATTAATTCTAGCCAAAGTTATTAAGGCACTTTGCTAGTTAAAGCTGCAATTTTCTTTTACAAATCTGAGTAAAAAATAGTGACTGAGTGAATGAGAACTTAGAAAAAAGGAGGGTGCTGGGAAGCGTGGAATAAATGCCTCGTTAACGATATTTTGCGTAAGTAACAAAAATCAAATTTTAGATTAGCACAGCTCCGAGAAAATTTTGTTGGAATATAAATTATTGATTGTCGGAACTCCACAAATTAGCGGAAGAATCACACTCGGACTGATCATGTGCCTAGTATCGAAATGATATCAACATATTTCAAAATATTCATGTGTCAAAATATCTTTATTATTATTATAAACAACTGAATCTGTATGCGATTCTTTTAAATAATTTTACATTACTTCTGATACTGTTGTATGTTTCCATAATTATTTCCCTTATTAAATCTAGGAAAAAGTGGGAAAATTCTTCACTGAAAGAGTTCATTTCTGCGATATTTATTCAGGGTTTCCACTCAAATCTGGTAAAAAAAAATCCTCGTGTTTTCCCTGTGCATATTATACGCAATTTATTAAGCGGAAACAACAATTACTGTGCTCTTGTGTGAGCTATATTGGGCTAACTATATTTATTAGTTTTAATTGCTGGAAAAACAGCTGAACATACTTAAATAATGCTATAGTAAATTAAATAGTTCAGTATAACTGAAATATCCCATAGATTACGCTTTGAGTGGTCAACAGTTTTTAAAAGACAAAAATAAGAAACAAAATTCCCTGTACTTTCCCAGTTTGTAAAGAAAAAAATCAGAATTCCCTTTATTTTATGTGATTTTAAATTCCCTGTATTTTCCAGGTTTTCCCTGTGGAATGGCAACCCTGTTATAGTATTGTACCAAGCAAAACAATTCCAATTTGTTTGTTATAAGTGGAATCTAAAGTTTTAAAAATTGTTTTATCAGAGAAAACAAAAAATTATAAGATATAATGCCATCGATTTTCAGGGAGTTTACCACTTCTCTTTTTTTACTTTCTTCTTCAGAATCTCAGAACTAACCTAAAACATGCTTGACGGCCCTTTTATCTCCCTTGTGTGCTGTGTGAATTTGTTGTGTTGAGCAGCAAGCCAGCTGAAATTATTGGCAATGAAGATAAAAAATAACTGATACGAGACTAAAAAATAATTTTCTTTGGTTTGCACTCCTGATGCATGGGTAGAAAGAGGCACCCCCTACCTTAGGTATGACGTTTGAAAGCAAATAATTTGAGTAGCGTAATCAAAGAAATTTTCCTTCCTTCTTACAATCTGTTTGACTTTGCGTTAAGAGTAAAATTTTCCAGATGCAATCATGATTAAATTTCCTTCCTCTTTTGAATTGATGTCCCCCTTTTTAACGTTCATTAAAAAAGAAAATAAATAATAACAATAGTAATTTTTAATGATTAGTTTTCTTGTTAAGTTTTTTTACTATGTGCTACAAGCAGTAGGGGAGAGTGGGGTCAATTGTAACAGGGTACGATTGTAACAGAGCAAAAATTTCGAGTGTCGGGTTCTAGATTTGGTTCCTAGGTGGCGCACAAGGTGTATTTAATAAATCTACATGTACACCCCTGCTGGCAACCATTTTTATGTACTTTTGAAAGAGTTACATCACAAAAGATATTTTCACGCCACGCAAGTACTTTTTTTGGTATTAGAATATTATATTGTAACAAAGTAATTTTGTTTAAACAAATAAAAATTAGTAACCGAATATGTAAGTGGACACTTTAATTAACATTTCAATAAAAAAAAGATTAGTTTTGCTAATTAACTAGCATTGTTTTTAACAAATGAAGCTGAAATGGCGTCTTGGGGACAATTGTAACAATAAGTAAAGGGACGATTGTAACAGCTGAAAATAAATAATCTTATGTTTACAAACCATTACTTAACTCTTTAAGAACCACCAATAGTTTCCTATATCATTTATATTATGTTGCATGTGCATTATTTTATTTGTCACCTTTCACAGCATAAATTAAAATTTTTAACCCCTTAAAGTTAAAAGTTTAACCCTTTAGGTCTCTGCTCATTATTATTTTTACTCCTAAAATATCACTACTATTTTGATCAATAAAAAAATATATCACAACTATGATAATATGTATAATTAACTATGTTTTAGTTGAATTTATGAACTGTTACAATTGACCCCGTAAGTGGGGACAATTGTAACAAGTGCACGACTGTCAAAAATTGTTAATAACTAATATAATAACATTTAAAATAAGGTATTTATTTTTTTTCTAGTAGAGGATAGTCTACTTTACTCGTCTGTCAATTAATACTAATAATATATTGGATTTTTTGTTAGTTAAAAATAGTTAAGCAAAAAATGTTACAATTGACCCCACTCTCCCCTTATGAAAATATGTCACATTTTAATATTTATGCTATTTTAACTACTACTAATTTTTAATCTACGTCACAACATCATAATGAGATAATTAGATAGAATTTTTATTAATATAATTTATTATAGATGATACCATTTAAGTTACTTTGGAAGTAATACAAACATTAAATTAGATAAGATTTAATTATTTTAGAATTAAGCTCACAATTGAAAACTAAGTGCTTAAGACAACAAACAAACAAAAAACGTATACTGCCGTTCAGTAAGTTCACACCCTATCTTTAAATTATGTCTGAAATATTATTTTTTTTAAATGTAAGTTAAAGTTTATAATCAACTAAATGATTACTTGTCAATTACTATGTACATGTAGCTATTACTATGTACGTCGTACTATGTACATTTGTAGCTAGTAAAATCTGTAATTCAAAAATGTGTGCAACTACATGAAATGTACCATTTTTCCTTAAAATATATATTTATTCCAAATGAGAATGTTTTGTTTGGCCTTTAACATTGAGTTAAGTCGGTTGCCAACAGTACTTATCCAGATTCATTTGTTGGTCATATATTTCTGTAATCTCACTCGAGCAACACAATTACATTTTTTTATAAATGAAATTCAAATGAACCACAAACTTTTGCAATCTACTGATATTAAGTAAAAATAAAATTAATTTTCGTGGATGTAAAATAGATGAACAGAAACCTGTCGGAAATGTGTAGCTGTTTGGACTCTCTTCAAAGGCTGCATTAATGCGTCCCGTACAAGAACTGATATATCTTCACCGGAAAACCTTGAATTAAGAAAAAAAGCTTCAATATTGAATCACCAAAATATAATAGAGGAGCTAAATGTTAAAAAAGCTTATGTAATTATACATATATATTTATATATATATAGCTTAATCTTTTCTGACTGGCTACAGTAATCATATGTTTCATTCAAAAATATTATAAAAGAAAAAAGAAATACAATATAAAAAAAAATACTTTTTATTAAAAATACAGATTTGAAAATCAATTTAATTTTTTTTTCTGTTACAATGAAGAATAAAAATATCACATAAATAAATTAGCAATCATTTTAATATAGTACTTTATTATAAATATCAATAGTTGAAATTTTTAAAGTTACTATTTTTTAAAATTCTAGGAGGTTCCACCTTTAATTCACTTAGCTCATCAGGCCCATAGTTGCTACTGAATTATCAATAACGATTAAGGGAGAAAATGGTTTATATACATTTTTAACAAAAATCGCTATTTAATTATACAATTTTGATGATTTTGGAAAATTAGCATTTATTTTTTGTTAAAAAAAGAGAGAAATATGACACCCGTTTTGCATAAATTTTCAGCCACAGATTTGCCTGACTTGGATTTGCACATGGCAAAAATATAAATTAACAAAGAAGTTTTTAGTAAATTTATTAATAGCAACATACAATTAACTCAATGATTTCATATAGAATTTAATTACATTAGTTGGGTATCCATTGTGTTTTTTATCAAATTTTGAAAGAGTTTGTCAATTTGTTTTTTGGAAAAATAAACATTACTACAGATTCTTTTAATCCTATTCATTTGATTAAAAATGGTATTTAAATGGATCTTTTCAGAAACATTAGAATTCCAAGTAATTAGTTTATTTATATTAAAATTAAAATAATTTCTTTTATCCGATAAATCAACAAAGTAGATAATAATTTTTTTCGTAATAGAGTAAAAATAAGTTAGCTAAGGGAGATGAAAAATTAGATCCTTGTGGTATTTCATCAATTTGAATAAAAACGATCTTTTCCATTGTAGAGATAATTATTAAAAAGACAAAAATTAATTAGAACTATCCAGTAATCAAAATTGCAGTTAATGATATTTTTAAAATCATAGTAATAACTCAAAAGAACATCTTTTAGTATAGAAATGGGAATGCTATTGGAAAGATCCTGGAAATCAAATGCGGCAATAGAATTAATTTTCTTTTGTTTAATAAATTATAAAATCGGTTGATTATAAGTGATAATCCAAAAAAACATCTTTAATAATATTGTTAAAATAGTTTTATTTAAGTAGTTAGAGAAATGGTGCCAGATTTAGTTAGGTAAGTAATAGACCCACACGTAATTGTACTAAAATATTGATGTATTTTGCTTTGGCTATATATACAATATTAGAAAACACTCTTTTTTGCGGATATAATCGTGTGAGCTGATGAAGAGATATCTTTTCATTTTTTGTTTTCCAACTCTTTAATTTATATTTTTTAATTTTTTTCTACAAATATTTTATTTTAACAATTTTTCTTCTTCTCTTTTAATTAATCTTTAATATTTTCCTTGTTTTCTCTATATTTTTATANCCTTTTCAACTGTTATTTGGTACTGCTATTAAAACAAAACAAGATCTGAAAATTACAAATATGCTGAATGAGGAAATTCAAGCCATCTTCGTTAACAGCCGTGACGAGTTGCGGAAACAAGCCAAACTACAAATACAGAAAGTCCAAGATGAAAACAAACGAACTTACAATCTTCGACGAAAACCATCTGCATCCTTCAAAATTAACGATTTAGTGGCAATAAAACGTACACAATTTGGACCAGGATTGAAACTGAAACCGAAATACATAGGACCTAATACGATAACAAAAATTAAACCTAATGATACTTTTGATGTCGAAAAGTGTGCTTTTTTTGATGGACCTTCAAAGACCAGTACATGTGCAGAATGCATCAAACATTGGTCTAATGATATTACTTAAAATGACATTTTCTTCAGAACTCTTTAGAACATTTTTACTTTTTCCCAGAGATTTTTTTTTTTTATCTTGAAAATTATTTTAATATTTTGATTATTAATTTGTCTTTTGAAATCTTTTTCAGATGATGTATAAGTATTTAGAATATAAAATTATATTTAGCTATTATGTAAGCATTTTTTGAATTTTTTTTTTGATAGGCCCACCTGAGGGCAGGTGCTTCTTGTCGGATGGCCAATGTGGGAATCCAACCCCCACTACAGCAGCGCCACCCCACTTATGTCAGACTTCAGCAAAAACGCTCAGACGGAGCGGTTGTTTCATATCTATTGTTATTTTTTTCATTAAATTTAATTATTACAAATGTGTAGTTATTTCAGCTATACCTGACGCCAACCTCCACATATATATAATTTATGCATATAAATAAAAATATAAATATGTATTAAAGAAAATTCAATGACCTACCCTTCAGTTTCTTTGCCAAGAGTTTTAAAATCACCTTCATTCAATTCATGTGGTATTTCACCAATGTTCATTTTAAAGATTGCTATTCTAGCCATTTCCTCAGGCAAAGGAATATATATTCTTTTCTCAAACCTGAAAGTAAAAATAATTCTCTATTAACAATGTAACCCGTCACAGATAATTAAGAACTAAAAAGTTTAAATAAAGACAAGCAAGTTTATGAACAGGTAATAAATAATTTTACAACTAAAAAAACTTTTTTTTGGTGAAAAAAAAAGAGACTACACAAAAGTTCTACAGTTTAAAAATAATTACTTTTAAAATACATTACTTTTTAACACACATGGTTCCTACGTATTTGAAAAAATAATGTTCCCTATGAATCAAGGTTTTCAAGTAACAAGATCCTAAAATAAATTTTGGCTATAGAAAACCCTGTTTAATCACATAAGCAGTCATATTACCTCCTACGAATAGCATCATCTAACTTCCAAGGTATGTTTGTAGCCCCTACCACAAGAATACCATCATTGTCTGTTCCAACACCTAAACAGGAATGAAGAATATTAATGCTGAAATTAAAAGAATTCATTTTCAAAAACTTGAAGAAAAAAAAGTAATAGTCACAAAACAAGCACACGGAACAAAAGAAAAGTTGATAAAAATACAATCTAAAAATTTACCAGTGTAAAAAAAATAAAATTAATGCAAAAGGCAGAAATACTAAAAAACTTATATTTATTTAACTGGATGAACTGCAGATAAACATATTGCACATGCATGGCATTTGAATTCACTTCGAACTTTTAATTGTTATCCTAATTCTTAATAAACAGATATTATGTTCATGATTTGTAATGTAAAAGTTCTGTTAGTAGGGGAGAGTGGGGTCAATTGTAACATTTTCTACTTAACTATTTTCAACTAACAAAAAATCCAATATATCATTAGTATTAATTGACAGACGAGTAAAGTAGACTATCCTCTACTAGAAAAAAAAATAAATACCTTATTTTAAATGTTATTATATTAGTTATTAACAATTTTTGACAGTCGTGCACTTGTTACAATTGTCCCCACTTACGGGGTCAATTGTAACAGTTCATAAATTCAACTAAAACATAGTTAATTATACATATTATCATAGTTGTGATATATTTTTTTATTGATCAAAATAGTAGTGATATTTTAGGAGTAAAAATAATAATGAGCAGAGACCTAAAGGGTTAAACTTTTAACTTTAAGGGGTTAAAAATTTTAATTTATGCTGTGAAAGGTGACAAATAAAATAATGCACATGCAACATAATATAAATGATATAGGAAACTATTGGTGGTTCTTAAAGAGTTAAGTAATGGTTTGTAAACATAAGATTATTTATTTTCAGCTGTTACAATCGTCCCTTTACTTATTGTTACAATTGTCCCCAAGACGCCATTTCAGCTTCATTTGTTAAAAACAATGCTAATTAATTAGCAAAACTAATTTTTTTTTTATTGAAATGTTAATTAAGGTGTCCACTTACATATTCGGTTACTAATTTTTATTTGTTTAAACAAAATTACTTTGTTACAATATAATATTCTAATACCAAAAAAAGTACTTGCGTGGCGTGAAAATATCTTTTGTGATGTAACTCTTTCAAAAGTACATAAAAATGGTTGCCAGCAGGGGTGTACATGTAGATTTATTAAATACACCTTGTGCGCCACCTAGGAACCAAATCTAGAACCCGACACTCGAAATTTTTGCTCTGTTACAATCGTACCCTGTTACAATTGACCCCACTCTCCCCTACCAACAGTTATTTTATAATTTTCTAACAGAGATTACAGCAAGTTAGAATAAGGCAGAATAGCCTCTCCTCATTAAGGATCTGAAGCGACGCTATTTTTTAACTGCACTAGAGGAAGCTTCCATTAGACAATGTTCATTTTAATAAAATAAAAAATCATAAGTTTCAACAAAAGTTTTTTTTTTCAGTATAAAACTAAATATTTTCAGGTAAAAATTAAATCCTTTACACTCATCAGTTTCTTGTTAATAATGGTCAAAAGGCATAATGTAACATTTGTAATATTTAGTAACCACATGGTTTACACTGTTTTAATAATACTATTCATAATTCATTAAAAACTGATTAAATATTTTTTTTCTCCGGAAAAACAAACTATAATTTAGTTACTATAATTAGTGATATCAAACTATAATTTAGAAATTATTTTTGAAGTAAAATTTGTTTTTCTAAATAATAAGGAGAATAAAAAAATTTATTTATTATAAGTCTTCATTTTTTAATTTTTTATTATGACTTTCATATGATGCAAAGTGTTTATGATTAATAGTGGCTATTCGTGGTAAATACTTAATGAAAAAAGACAGTTCTGTTCCTTCTATAAAACAAAACATTCCTTTTTAGTAAAAATTAAGGTTCACCTTATTTATACCAAAGCAAAGTTTACCTTAAGGTAAAAATTAAGGTAAACTTTGCTTTGATTGTTTTTGGATGGTTTCTATAATTTGCTATAATGGACAAACATATGCGTCCGAGATTCGGAGATTATAGTTTCTAAAGGCCTGGTTTCTTAGGACAAGCGCCTTATCTGGGCGTCAGCGTGACGTCAACGTCCCGCTGACGCCAACAAAATACTGGTTTGTTAGCTCAAGGCCTGGTTTCTTAGAACTAGCGCCTTATCTGGGCGTCAGCGGAAAGTTGACGTAGAGCTGACGCCAAAAAAATACTTTTTTGTTAGCTCAGCTTGAGCAGTTGGTACAACGCAGACATTATCTCTAATTGCGCATGCGTTAATAGCGTAAACAAATATTTATTTTGAATTTATATTGATTTTGTTATTGTCGACCAGTGTTTTAGAGAGCAAATAATGACTTTGTTCAAGAAAAAACGCATTATAGCTGAGCTAAATGAAGAGTGCTATGTTTAATGAAGAAGCTATGTTTAATGTCAAAATCAAAATCTTGGCTGATTTCAATGTGCTGTTGGATGTTGTCCGCCATTGCTTCTATGGTTAACGTCACGTTGTAATCCAACTGCAGTTGAGTTGGACGGCAATTGTAGTTCAAGATGAGCGTTCGATGACGTATACTATCAAACTAACAAATGGACCAATCAGCGGTTAGCGCTGATTTCCAGCTGACGGCGTCCTGTCCTAAGAAACCAGGCCTTAAGTAATAAATTGGCTGAAATTCGTTTTAGTCGAAACTAGTTTTGTGGATGGACAGACAAAATTTTACGTTACTCTTACGATTTCTTTGAATTGACAAATGCTTGGAGGTGAAATTTAAACATGTGGCTTATCTATCAGGAATCACAATCAGGTTCAACGTTTGAAGGTAAAATACAAATTTGTTACTTTCGAGTCATAAATGAAGTAAGTTTCATACAGAAACTATATAAATGTATTATATTTTAAAAGGAATATGATAATAAAATTCGAACAACATTTGCATTGAAACTTATGTTCTCTATATCATGGAGTATAAGCAGACTTTTCAGAGCCCCAAAATTTTACAAAAATCAGAGGGTCAAATTATGCACCAGTAATGAAAACGAACTTTCTTTGGTCTTAAATTAGACACAATGAGATAAATATGAGTCAATTTACCATTTCAAAAACTATTTTTAATGTGTAATTACGAGTATAGAGAGATACGAGCTTGCTTCAGATAGCTAATAAAAATTTTCGAGTGGTAGTTGTTTTAATGTATTATTCTTGGTCTAATAAATTCGACTTATAAGGTTCTTACTCACCACTATTTCTAAATAATTCAAAGGCTTATGTGATACAATACTTTGTTACAATTAAGCCGTGTCATTTTTTTTTCTTCCAGTTGACCAAATTATTCGAAAATCTGCAAATTTTAGTTTGAAATTCCAGGGTGCGTAGTCAGATTTTTCAACAAAATATAAGCACCTTTTAAGTACTCTTCAAGCACTCAAAAATATTTTTAATAGCTTTCCTAAAAAAAATCATAATTAGGATCGGTGCAGTAATAAGCATTTTCAAAAACTTTACATAATCATAATAAAATAACTATCTTCTGATAAATATTGATGAGAATATCGTGCATTTTTTGTAATTTATAACGATAATCGACACGGCAAAAGAAAGTCTCTTTTTAAAATATAGAAATTGAGCACTTTTTACAAACCCCGAATAAAAAAAAGCACCTTCTAAGGGCTTTTAAAAATGCAAATCAAAATAAACACCTTTAAGCACTTTTTAAAAACTCTACGCACCCTGAATTCTCTATCATGTTGAAAAAGATTTTGTCAAATTTGGAGCAGTTGGCATATTTGGTAATAAACAATCAATTTTGCGTTTTTTTTGGGGGGGGGGACGGACGCATTCTCATTACATATAAAGTTTATTTTTTAGAAACAATACATAAAAGTACGTTAAAAAATTATGAATAAGAAAAGTTAACATAATTTATTCACAGTATTTTAAAATTCAGTGTATTTCAGAGTATTTCATAAATACTTTTCAGTAGTCCACTTATACACCTGAAATATCATAAAACTGCTATTTCATCATCAAATATATGGGTTTCAACTTATACATCAGGATATGTAATAAGCTGACTAGTTCAGTTATAAAACATTGCTTTAAAAATAAACTTACAGAGGGGATTCAATACCATATTTTCATATAAATTATGTTATTTATCTATTTCTAATATGTTACCAATTCACATTTAAGATAAAATGTCATTAATTTTTTAATATTTTTTATAAATTAATAAGCAGAAAAAATTTACAATATTTGACATAAATTTAATATTAAACTGATTAGTTCAAAAAACAAACAAGCATATATCATTAGTCATGCCAGTCATGCATTTATAAATATTTTCTTAAAATATCTGTACTCAAGAATATATATGAATTAAGAAACTTAACATTAGATTTACTTCAACATTTTTATTTCAACAAATTTATTCTGTTACATGTACTTACAAATTTATTTATTACGAAAGTCCTTATACAGGGTTCCTAATAAGCACTTTTTTAAAAAAATTAAGGACTTTTTTGAAAAATTAAGGACATGCAAATCTGGGTCGGCTTTTTTAAAAAACGTTTTCAGATTGTTAAAGGTTAACACCATCTATAAAACTAATCCATATTCTATTTTTAATGATTTCATTGAAATAGAATTGTAAAATTAAGTGTAGAAATTAAGATTTGCTATTTTTTTCATAAAAAAGATTAAAAAAAAAATTTGGCGAAAACATTGAAAAAATTATTACGAGTTTTTATATTTCGCTATTAGACCTGCATCACATATTCAGCTGTGAGCCAATCTTGCTAAATATTCAGCTACCCCCCAAAAATTCCTTCGTTTCTCTTCATAGAATGTTTTATTTATAAGGGTATATATTAAAAGAATTAATACTAAGAAGTTGAATTAAAAGTTATGCATGAGAATAGTTTTCTGAATTCTGTCATGTTAAATTAAGTCCTATTTTAAGTGAAAACAGGCCACAGTAATATCCAAGCACCTTAAATCATTCCAATTTTTTTTTTCATTAGGCTTAACTTAAAATATTGTTTTAAATTCATTGCAACAAATATTTTTATAGAATAAAATGTTAGAATAAATGTTTAAATAAATAATATAGAATAAATGTTTTTATAGAATAAATGTTAATAAAAGTACGTTATGTTTGAGAAGATTTGTAATTTTCAAACCAATATGTTTTTTTATTAGTTCTAGGGGAAACATATAAATAAAAGGGTTTAAAACGATTTTTCAAAAGTAGCAACACATTCCTCTGGCCAGAAAATTTATAAGGTAATTATCAAATACTGATAAATTATATATTTTTTCATAATGTATCGATATTTACTTGAAATATTTCTTTATCATCCTCTACTATTATTATGATTTGATATTTTATTTCTATCGCAAATTAATTGTTTAAAACTGAAAGTGGTATTCTTAGGGTTTTATTTAATTCCTATAAGCAGATTCGTTACCAGTAGAACTGAATTTCTTGAATTCTGTCAATTTTGAAGGTTAGCAAGGGTCTTCTACTTAGGTACCTTAAAACTGCAGCCCCTCCCAAAAAAAAGCACTCTCTCTTCCATGTGCAGTATCCCCCTTGTCAACACTATTCTTTTCTTTTAGAATGCTTCACTCTCCTCATAAAGTATCATTCTAGGCAAAAGGCAGAATATATTAATGAAAGAGCCAATATATTAATGAAAGGACATGCTTTCTTCCTTTTGCCTGTATCCCTTCCCACACACATATTCCTCTTTTTCTATCTCTAAAATGCTCTACCCTCAATGCATGGTCTAATTCTAGGTGATAAAAGAACGACATTTTGTTTTAAAAAATTGAACTGAAAAATTGTCCCTATCAACAATAGTGATGCTGAAAAATTAAGGACTTTTAAAAAACTTGAACCAAAATTAAGAACTTTCAAGGGCCATTATTTTCCAAAAAATAAATTAATTAATTAAGCAGTTTTAAGGACCGTGGGAGCCTTGTAACAGTACTTCAATAGGGTCATTCACAAAGGCGTTCAGACTAGTACAATAACACTTAAAAACAATTTGACTTATTTCAGAAGTTAACATACTAAATAGACAAGAGGACAGATTTCAAAAGTTTTGCTCTTTATTATTATATTCTACCATAAATTTGGTTCCCACTGACGGTTCTTCAGGTAAAAAGTCGTAATTTAACTTGCAGTCTTCTCCGCATAGCAGAACCGGTTTTCCCATGTTATTAGATAGGGAAATAGTGTATAGGGGAGAAACATTCTCCCAATTTTGCCCATTTGCTAAACCGTCAGTGGGTTAAGACAGATTATTAACTTAAAAATTTTAACTGTAATAAGAATTTAAAAAAAAAGAACTTTTAGAAACATAAACAAGTTTATAATTCAAAACTTCAAGGACATTTAAAACTGGATTTAAATAGAAAAAAATCTAATATCAATTAAAAAATATATAGTAAACATTAGAATGCACAGATAGCATGATGATTTTAGCCATATTTATACCATGAACAAAAAATTACAATTTTGTGTTTTTGTAATAATCCTTGTAATGTGAGGTTTAAAAAAACGTGAAATCAAAAAGAGAAAATAAAAAAATAAGATAATAAATTTAGTAATTATTAAAAAAGCCTGATATGAAGAAGAGACTAAAAGACCTAGCAAAATATTAAGTTTAATAACAAAAACAGAAGTTAAAAAGTTCAAAAGCTCAAACACCATTAGAGATTAAACTAGAAATTGCAACTTATGATATAGAAATTGGAAAAGTCATTTAGATAAAGACACATAAAAAAATTACCTTGAGTCTGAACTAAAAATTCTTCTTTTGTTCGTCGGGCTGACTCTGATTCTTTATCCGATCGTGAGTTACACAAAGAATCTATTTCATCCATGAATATAATACTAGGCTTTTGTTGTCGCGCCACTTCAAATAGATTTTTCACTAATCTGAAAAAGTGACAAATTAGAAGTCATACTTAAAAATGAAGTAGTAATTTATGAGTTGAACTTAATAAAAGCAAGCATTTTTTTTCTTACCTTGAGTACATTTACAATGTTTTAACATGCAATCAATCTCTCAAAGTAGACAAAAAAAAAATTAACAAGTAATGCTACGAATAAAAAATTGAAGCTTGTTAGAAAAAGAACTTCAAAATAAACTTTTCCAGAGTAATATTTGCTGACACCTTTTATTAAATATGGAAATAAGTATATCTCAGTTAACATTGTATAATATTTTACTAGACGTAGTTTATCTTATAAAATTTTCTTGAAGTTGGTAGCAAAATCTGTCCTTACTTTTTACGAAAGGAGTGATCCCATTTTACAAAAAATAAATATGAACGCATATACCACTCATTAACACTTTTAAATAAGTAATAATTATACCAGGGTTGTCACATTTAAAACCCTCTTTTAATACATTTTTTATGAGTTTGTTGGAAGAGTAGTTTTCAAAAATGTAAACCTTTACCTATGAAAGGGTTATTCCCTACACTTGCTTCCCAAATCTAGACAGGTTGCAAGTGGCATTTTAACTGGGGTAAAGGACAGTTTGCTGTCAAGATTTAAAATTATTAATGACATGACCCACAATGTGGATAAAAGTGAGGTTGTATCTGTGGAAGTGTGGAAACACAATGTCCATTTCATAATTTTTGCTATATGCAATCCTCCGGGTAATAAACCAGGTTTTACGTTCTTTAATAACTTAACAAAAACCATCTTCGTAGGAGACTTCAATGCTCATTCTCCGAAATGGGGTTACCAGGATATAAACGACTCTGGCAAGGAAATTGAAGATCTTTTGTGCTCACCCACAATGGACCTGATTTTTGACCCCAAAGACCCTTACAAATTTCTCCACTACAATGGAAAAAAGTATAATCCAGATCTCCTACTGGCTTCGGCGGATATATCCTCCAATACTAAAAGAAAAGTGCTTGAGGACCCTGGTTCGGGACATCGACAAGTTATAGCTGAGGTTTCTTTCCTGGTTCCAAATCAGTGTCCAACTACTTCGAAAACATCATGGAACTTTAGAAAAGCCAATTGGAGGAAATTCAAAGATCTGACAGATAAAGAACTTGATTCCAAAGCAATAGATTGGGATACAAAAACCGACCACATAAATAAATTCATTACAGATAAGATTGTCCAATGCGCTAGACAAACTATTCCAAGAGGTAAATGCAAAGGCTACAAATGTTTCTGGTCAAAAGAGATCAAGGGTATGAAGGACAAGAGAAACAGACTTCGGAAAAAAGCTGATATTACTGAACGTCCTTCGTATGTCCAGGCATGGCGAAAACAAGCAGCATCCATCAAAAAGGCTGTTCTCAAAGAGAAACGATCATCATTTAACAACTTCATTTCCAAGCTGAATTTCCAAAGAGATGGAAAAACAGCGTATCAGTTCCTCTCAAGCATCAAGAATGGGACACCTAATTCCACAAAGAAACCAATCGAAGTCAATGGGGAGGCTTTAACATCTTACAACAAAATAGCCAATGCATTAGTTCAGTATTTCTGTGCTGCACAGCGTAGATCTAGCTTGTGTAGAAAACAAACAAGGCTTACGAATAAAGGATTTAAACAACTCAAACTTAAATTCAGGGCCCTTTAATCCCCACCTAATTTTCTCTGCTAGCCTTACTTTCGATGAACTCCTCACTGCAATTAGCAGATTAAAGACCAAAAAATCCCCAGGCGAAGACGCGATATTTGCCGAATTTCTACTTAATTTGGGGACTCAGGCAACGCAGACCATTCTGAAATATTTTGAGTTAGTGTGGGATATAGGTAGCGTCCCCTCAATATGGCGCAAATCAATCATTATCCCTATACACAAAAAGAGCAAAAGATAGAGGTAACCTAAAAGGATACAGGCCAATCTCATTAACGAGTATGCTAGCCAAAACCATGGAAAAAATAATTGCAAAAAGACTGACATGGTTCACGGAAACATACAACATCCTAGCCGAAAACAGGCAGGATTTAGACAGTACAGATCACCTAACCAACATGTCACCCTCCTTAGCCAATAAAGGATGCTCTTGATAAAAAAGATGTACTCACTGCTGTTTTCGTGGACCTAAGATCCGCTTACGATTTGATTTGTAGGGAAAATCTTCTACTGAAACTCGCCAAAATAGGTGTTGACTCAAAAATGTTCGACTGGTTTCGAAGTTTTCTCTGCCAAAGAATCTGTAAGGTTCGCTATGAGAACTGCCTTACCCGTTGCAAGATTCTCAAGACAGGTCTCCCCCAGGGAGCTGTTACCAGCTGCTTATTGTTCAACATCTACATAAATGACCTTATTGTCGGCTTTAGAAAATCAATGGTATCAAATGCCTTCTCTACGCAGATGACTTAGTCATCTGGACCGAAACTCCCAAAAATAGTGTTGAGCGACAGTCAGAACTAGCCCTTAATCAAGCTTTAAAGGAATTAAACAAATGGTGCCACATTAATAACATGGAAGTCAACCTGGAAAAGACATGTTACCAGACCTTCTCCTTGACACATCAGCCTATCAAACTAAAGCTATTGTAAGAGGACGTTCCCGTTTTATATACAGGCTCTTCTTCATACTTAGGTGATGTATTCGACCGAAAACTGACGTGGACAGAGCACGTGACCAAAGTTTTGAAGAGAGCCACCTCGAGACTTTCTCTAATGAAAAGAATAGCCGGATCAAAATGGGGCTGCTGTAGAAATACCCTCGACATGACATATAAATCTTATATACTCCCCCTCATGACTTACTGCTGGGAGCCGCTGGCGGCGACCAGCAAAAATGTCGCCATGCAATGGGTACCAGCGCACTGTGGACTTCAAGGTAGAGAAACGACAGATTTCTTGGCAAAAAAGCCGCCAAGATTCTACAAATATCTCTTATGCCAGTTCCTTTCCACATCGCAAAAAGGCTAATAAAAATCTCGTTTCGAACAACATTTGAGGCAAAACTCCAAGAAACAAATAAAGATAGGGAGTGGCTGGAAGGAATTAAAGATATTCCGTCATGGCCAAGAGAAAAATCTGTGGCCCTTTTTCGCCTTGCCACTGGCCATAACTGTTTATCAAAACATCTGCACAGAATCAAAATCTTTTCAAGCCCCTTTTGTCCATTATGTAATTATTATGTACAAATTTGTCTTTCATGTCTGCCATTGGAAATATTAAAAAAATAACTATGAAAAGGTACTCCACCTTAAAATCGAGTTAACATGTCTTATATACTAGTGAACTGGAATTCTATATTTGTAGTGGTAGAAGTGGTACACTACAGTACCCCTTCCCCACCAGAATTTTAGCTGTAATAGAATTTGATGAACAGGATGCCACTAGTTGAGTCATTTTAAGTGCTGATCATGAGAGCTGTATTAAGTTCACAGTTGTGGTTGCTCCTGTGTTGCCTTTAGCAGTTGAGTGTATATGTTGCGTGTGATCGAGACTAAGTAGCAACAATGCGAGGAGGTGGATAATGTCACAGTCACAAGTAGCAAATCAATTGTTCAATGTGGACCATCCATCAAAGTAGGCTTTACTGTTAAAATAGGCATGCTCATTTTGAACTGGGAGTTTCTGTCAAGGAAGGCATGTTCACATAATGTCTGAAGGTCATCAATGTGGGAAGAGTAGTTTTCGACTATGTCAACCTTCATCTATGAAAAGGTACAATTTGAAGATTTTAAAAGCTCTGTCGTTATAATAAAGTAAGGCTTCTTTGTGGAAAGTATACATTTTTAATGGCAGTAGGGAAATTGTAGGAGTTTTATGGATTCCACTTAATTTCAGGAAAAAAATTTCATGACTTTCTCAGGCATTTCAAGAAAATTTCAATGTTAAGCCAGACCATATTTTATCTGTACCATAAAATGTTTCATCAGGAAATTTTTTATTTTTTACTTGTAATATTAGATTTTGTGAACAAAAAAAGATATTGAATGAGGATGGAAAAATGGAGAAGTGTCCCTGAAATGTGAAATTTGCAGACTAAATAATTGCAATAGATGTTAGAGCTATTTGAATAAAATTTTACTGGCTCATTATTGCTATTGAAAATTCTAAGACTAGTTATTTTCAAGACATAATATCGGAATCTTCCAAGTCTTCTTTCTTAAAAAATGCAACTTTCCCTGACTATTTCTTGCTTATTTTTAAAAGTTAAAATAAAATTCTCTGACATTTCCAGATATAAATGACTGTCAGGAGGTTCAGTTTTGTCTATCTTTAGCCTGTGTCATCAATGCTATTTATGATAATGGCACAAAATGTCAGTATAAAGAAAAGTAGCAGTTCTGTGAGAATGAAAAGCACTTCACCTTTTTAATATTTAAAATGTTACCCTATCATCACATTGTGTAAACTCAAAAATATGCAAAAATTTAAAATTATTCGTTGATTTTAATTTTTGTGATCTAATGTTTAAAATTTGAAAGCTTAGTAAAAATCGCATGCACCATAATCATATATAACAAAATATCATTCAAACACATTTTAACGATACAACTTTAGTTTTGCCAGTTACAATTGTCAGATAGACATCGTTGTGAAAATTACAATGTCAGGAGTAATTTTAAAAAAATAATCATGAAAATAATTACTTTTCACTTTCCTCTAGCGATTTAGAAACTAGACATGAAGATGAGACATAAAAAAAGGTGGAATTATTTGCTTCAGCGGCAATTGCTTTTGCCAGGAAAGATTTTCCCGTTCCAGGAGGCTAAAAGAGAGATATGGAATAATGTAAAGTAATATTTATGCGCATTAGAGGAAACAGAATGTTTTAAATATCTATTTATTACAACTTACACCAAACAATAAGACTCCTTTCCAAGGTTTTCTTGAACCGGTAAAAAGATGGGGAAATTTAATAGGTAAAATAACAGCATCTTTTAAAGCCTCTTTTGCACCTTCTAGGCCAGCAACATCAGACCATTTTATATTTGGTTTCTCAACAACAATGGCTCCTAAAAGTTTAAAAGCATTTTCATAAAAATCAATCTTCTATATTATATAAAACGCTAATACGTATGTATGTATGTATCAATAAAACCGATGATATTTCTTTTCTCGCGCTGGCAACAGTTTTCATTTTTAATTGATTGGATTCGGAGCGCAAGAGCACGCAGTGAGCATCATATGGCTAAAATAACCAGAGTGAGCATTATCAGGTTGTTCAATTCAGATTCATGCACTAAAACATGACAATATTTAATTTAAACTCAATTAGGAATTAATTAATTAATTGAAGTGAGAATGCTTTAAAAGGCCGCTGTTGAATTGATATTTTTCTACTGGGAGCTACCTAAACGTCTAAAAAACGTTTAAGTGTTTGTATTGAATGCATTGAATTTTTTTATATTTCGCGTTTATTTATGCATTGAATTTTCACGCTTTAAAATGCAGAATATTAGTGAAGCAATATTTGATAATTTATTTTGCTAATATGTTTCTTATTTAGCTAATGTTTTGATTTTTTCACCATGTACAATCTAAATAGCTAATATACTTTTTTAAAAGCCAATAAGAACATTGATAGAATTCATCCACATAAGTACAATACTATGTCTTTGATGATAAAATACTATGTCTTTGATGATAATATATTATGTCTTTGTGCTAGAACATTGTGTTCATTGGCGAGCGAGCGAAGCGAACCATGGTTCACGGCTTGAACCACATAGGATTGCGTAGCACTTCTAGGGGGTTGGCGAGCGTTAGCGAGAAGGGGGCGTAGCCTCCTAGTATAGAATAAATCGATAAAATTTTTTAAGAATATTAACAGACAACTTACTATTTTTTATAAATCAATGAAAAATAACGTATAAATATAAATTCGTTAGAAAAATCACACACTTAACAATAAAAGAAGATAAGAGTTCAAAAACATTTTATAACTTCAACGTTAGTAGATCAACTTTTGCTTCAAATCATAAGCTTGAATAAATTTAAACTATCATTGACAATGTATTTTTTGTTTATTTAAGATATGTGATAACACTTTGTCTACTTTATTTATTTTCAAATGGGTTTTTGATTTAGTGGGCAATGAATCATTAACTAAGTACATGTAAGCTGTGTGTTATTTTTGCTTCTGCATTCCATTCAATAAACATCACACCTGTTTCAGAAATAAGAATATTTTCAACTCTTCTTATTCTTATTACATAAAATTATAAGTGTCACACTTTTGCAGGGATACCAGGGGGGAGATTACTAAATTTTCACTACAGAGAAATTTTATCAGAGATGCACCAAATTAAGACAATTGTCTAATTTGCCAAACACGTTGAAAAGGGAGCTAAATATTCTTTCTGATTTCAATATCATGAAAAACATAAGCTTAAGTAAAGTTTTAAGAAAAAAAAAGTTTGTCTAATAGCAAATAGCCACATATCAAAATCTGTTTCATTCTAATGGTAAACCTATTTCAGCAAATTTAAAGTTGGAAAAAATGTTATTCATTCAATCAGAGGATGAAAAAAAGTCAAAAATTTTCAATCCAATTTCATACCAAAGTGATTATGACTCAATAAAAATGTTTTGGTGATAGAATTGCAATTGGTAAAATAATAATTCTCCACGTTCCGAAAATATAAGTATATAGGGCATCATTGCATTTGAATGTTAATAAAAACTTTTATTTTATTATAATTCTTTAGTTTTCTATTGTGCAATTCTTATTTTCTCAAAATGTTTTTTTGCTAGTAGCCCAACATTAGAAAGAAAATAATATTTGGGGAAAATTTCTTTTCTTAAAACTTATTTTAAAACATTGTAAACAAATTAAATAAGGAAAAACGAATTATTTATTTATTTTATAAGCACTCACAATCTTTTAGTATTCTAAATGGTTAAGAGATTGTAAGCGCAATTGTAAATTATGAATGACAACAGTGATTACTTAGTTGGCATGTAAGCGCCTTGCCACCGTATGCGCATATATATTGTAAAAATGAAGAATTGTAACAGTGGTTATGTTTTAGTTTCGATTTTGTAATGTAAACATTATTATTTTGTAGAACGTCGATACGAAATGTATGTGAATGTAGTAAGTTACGAGTGTACTTATATTATCAATAAATAGGGGGAGCTCGGGCAAGACGGGACACCGCTTTTATTTCTATGCGTATTCACGATAGTGACATCTAAAGTGCGTTTTCGGAAAGAAAAAATTATTGTTTTCAATACGCACAAGTTTTTTCTTCAGTTCACAAGGTGTTACCGAAATGCAAGCATTGTTTTGTTTTTCTTGCATCGTGTTAAAATATTTTTCCAGGTTTGTATGCTGATATTATTTGTTTAATACATTGCAATAAATTTTTCAAATTTGTGGCCCTGTAGTGTTATTATTGTAGAAACGTAATGAGTAGTGTAAATTAAAATTTATTTGTTTAAACAAATTTGCAGATATTTTTTTTAAAAAATGTATTATCCAGGCAAGATGGGACAACCAAGTAGAATAAAAGTGTAATATAAAAATTAAACTCTATGGATTTGGCAAAAAGCATAAAAAATAAGGTAATATTAATTTAAAAAAAATATGAACTAGCAAATATAACTTAACAAATTACTTAAAAAAAATTTATAAAAAAAATTTATAATTAATTGACAGACTATATTCAGATTGCTTAGAATGGGTTCATGAAGTGTGCAGTGCTTATTCCGGTTTTATCCGCATCTTATGCAGCAACTGTGATGTTTAAGAACGTTTTTTTGTCGATTATTCTTTTATTTTGACATTAATTTCTGTGATTTTTGAAATATAATTATGCTTGCCCGGGTAGCTCGGGCAAGATGGGCCAATTTTCCATTTTTGTTTATGTTAAGTTATTATTGATAAACTTTATTATTTATTTATTTTCTGTATGAGATATGTAAGAGCATGTTCCCACTATATGTTTACAATACAAAATATATAAAATTGCTCTAGTTTACTATTTTTCAGACCAAGTTTTAAGCGGTCCATCTTGCCCGCTCTTCCCCTATTGTTTTTGTTTTCTATAAAGATTTTATTAGTGTTAATTTAACAACATACGAATCCAACAAAATCAGAAGTGAGATTCATTTGAAACTGAAAGAAAACACAAATAATTAAATTCATAAAGGATGAAGCTTCTTTGAAAAAAACGCGCTAAGAAGCAGCAGAAATTTCAGAAAAAAGTATCAATACAAGAAACGAATGAAATAAAATAAAATTATGACCACCGAAGCAGACGTCTTCAGGGGGTACCGGCCTCGGTAGCCATTAAAAACAAAACCATTTCTAATTGAGGGAGAAGCAAATGCTTAAAATATCTCCCTCAGTACCCCGATGGTTTTGTATAGAGGTCCAGGAAAAACAAGATACATTCAAAATAATTAACAAATTACGAAAAGAAAATCAATCAAAATCATCAGAAGAATAAAAACTCACAGTCACAGGTCAAGAATCAACTTCAAAAGCAAGTGGAGGAAAAGAAAACACTAAAAACTGAAAAACCAACGCCCCCTATAACAATGCGCAGTAGAAGTTTAAAATGAAATGAAAAAGGTCAGGAGAAAGAGATACGTAGACAAATTAATAGAATGCTTAACTGGGGCTGCTCAGTTAAGACCAGAATTGCGCCCTGTTAAAAGAAAAAATTATATAAAAACTTAGAAACCATCAATCATTTTTTTAATTAAAAAATTAACATTACAAAAATTAAAAGGAAAATCATTTTTACTCAAATTATTTAAAAAATTATCCACAGCTTCCCGAAAACTTTCAACATTATTACAAATTTTCTTGATCCTAACTAATNTGTAGTGCTTATTCCGGTTTTATCCGCATCTTATGCAGTAACTGTGATGTTTAAGAACGTTTTTTTGTCGATTATTCTTTTATTTTGACATTAATTTCTGTGATTTTTGAAATATAGTTATGTGTCCCATCTTGCCCGGGTAGCCCGGGCAAGATGGGCCAATGTTCTATTTTTGTTTATGTTAAGTTATTATTACTAAACTTTATAACTTATTTATTTTCTGTATGAGATATGTAAGAGCAATGTTCCCACTATATGTTTACAATATAAAATATATAAAATTGCTCTAGTTTACTATTTTTCAAACCAAGTTTCCTTAAGCGGTCCATCTTGCCCGCTCTTCCCCTATTGTTTTTGTTTTCTATAAAGATTTTATTAATGTTAATTTAACAACATACGAAGCCAACAAAATCAGAAGTGAGATTCATTTGAAACGTTTCACATCGTCAGAAAGTTCATCGTGAGTACAAAATGACTATTTTCGTTAATGCAAGAAAATGCAATTTAAAAATATTAGCTGAAGAACTGGGTGAAGATGTAAATGGTGCACATAAAATTAGCGATTTAAAGAGGATAATTCTGGCGAGCAAAGAATATGATGAAGATAGTGTCAAAGAATGGTTGAAAACTACAATAATTGAAAGAAAGGAAAAAGAAAAAGAACGTAAAAGCCAAGAAGAAATTGAAGAACGCAAACGACAAAACGAGGTAAGAAAAATTGAAATGGAACTTAATTACAAAAATTACGCCTTGAATCAGAGAATAGCTTTACTAATTCCGTCACCAATCAAAATATTAATAGTACATTATTAAAATCTAGATTAGAACTTCATCATTTGATTCAAAAGTTTAACCCTGATGAAAATGATATCAGTTTATATTTAACTAGGAGGCTTCGCCCCCTGCTCGCTGGTGCTCACCAACCCCCGGAACTGCTTTCGCAGTTCATTTCGCATTGCTTCGCAATCCCATGCTCTCGTTGCTCGCTCATTGTATACGTTCTTAACGTCTAGCTTTTGCATACTTTTTTGAACACTGAAGTTCCGAAAACTTTTCACTGTAGAAAATTTTAAACCTGTGCATTTCAATATTAATTTGAAACAGTTCACATATTTTTCTTAATCACACTATTCTAAATTTCAGTTGTTGAGAAAAGTAACTGTTGTAAGTTTTGTTTCAAA